GAGAGAAGGGAAACAGTCAGCATGTTCTAAGGTAATATCCCCCACTGTGATCAAGCAGACTTAAAGTTTATCTTGCTGACTCAGCAAAGGAGCCAGACCACTTCAGAAATAATAAATACTGATACTCAGTCACACACCCGTGTGAAAAACACATCTCTCTTCCTCTCCATAGAGCTCTTTGTTACAGAATGAAACTCTACTTTTTATGGTGGCTAAAACATTTCCCATCTAGTTTTATCCTAGAAAGAACTACAGACTAGTCCCTCATTCACAATCCCTACAACAAACATGACAGCTTTGCTTTCACAGTCTTTTAGCACAGCAACTTAGTTCCAGCTGTTGGAATACTTGCTAGAAAGATTCTGATGCTTGGCTGAGAACAGGCATCTAACAAACTGATAAGAAGAAAAGATAAATCAGAAAGATACTCACCTTCCTTCCTGCCAGCTTGATCCGTGGAGTGAAGCTGTTACACAGGAGCTGGCTTTTGGAGGTGTAGAAACTGAAAGGGAAAACAGGGTGGCTTTAAGTTCTAAGAATTGAACACAGTTGGTTTGTTACACAGCAAACAGCCTGTGAGCCTGAACTAGCCATTGGATGGAGAAAAGGGGATACCCTTCTCTGCATAGAACACATGGAAACTACTGAGGGATGGTTAACTTGAGAGAAACTACTCTTTTTGTAGAGACCAGGCTTTGATATCCACAAAGCCTCAGCCTAGACCACTTCTTAATATGCTTGACACCTGCACTTCCAGTTCACTTCCCCCTTCTACAGAAAGGCATCCACTTTCACTGTGCCAGTTACACAGCTCTCCCCACTGACACCAGTGACTACTCACACCAGCTGTTTGAAAACTACAGAGACTGCCTCTCATTTCTGAGATGTTGCATTAATGCCCAGGGTTCTACAAGAGTAATGTAATATAAGGCTTTGTTTCACAAAGAGAGCAGAGGAAATAAACAGTGAAAGAAGAAAGAGAAACAGATTATGAAGAGGAAAGCAAAGCAGGAGTGTTTAGCAAAGGCTGGTAGAATCCACCTACCTGTGATTTATCCAGTGTGGAATATTGTAGTCATCACCCATCCGGGAGTCCCCGGGGCCACAGCGGTTATGGAGCTGGAAGAGGAAATCAGAAGCAGAGTAACCAGTTGGTCACAAAAGGAATAACGTTTGTAGCAGGAATAGACAGTAGGGGAAGGGAGTACACCTTACCTTAAAGAGTGGTACAGCATGCAGGGGCTGCTCTCCCATGCACACCAAATCCACACCAATCCCTGGAAAGAAAGAGCAGCAGAGTTCAGCTGCCAACCGAGCAGGACTGATATGCCAAGCCAAAACAGATCATCAACTTGAGCTGAAGACCCAGTTTCTATTCATGTCACATTTTAAGATGTAATTAAACTGAAAATGGTAGTTAACAGCCCTGTGGTGTGTTTACCAACCAACAGTGCCTGTGGGGGGGGGAAAAAAAAGTTTCTTCTAAACTAATGCAAGTCATGCAAGATTATCCTCTAAGGGACAGGTCTGCATGGACAGATGAAGTTCTCTACCAAAAGCAAGAGAAATTAAAGGCCTCTGAGTACCCTGAAAATCTGCTCATTTCAATATGAAGTGCAGACAAGTGTTCCAGCTGTAACCCCTCTTCCCAGAGCGCACAAGTCGCAGCAGACACTTTTTCACAGCCAGAAGAGGTTCCATCTTTCCCCAACTATCTCTTTGCCTCCTGAGCACCTCCAGTTCTTTACCATTGTCAATCATCCTCTGCTTGGTCAGGATCATGAGGAGCCGGTCGACCTCGAACACGCCCACGCCGGGGGTGATCACCACAGACATCTGCCCCGTGCGGTCGAAGTTCCGGTTGATGTAGTGCTTGTCAAACACTGCGGGACAGAATTTGGGAATACCTGAACAAGGCACTGGATGTTTCTTTTCAGAGCAAGGCAGGTGACTCTCCATTAGCTGTGGTGCTTAAAAAGTTTCCCCAGAGCACATGGACGTGTGAGAGGGGTTGGAGATGGCCTTGGAGACAGCCTTGCCCAACCAAGGAATGTTAATAAAGCTTCAGGAGAGGAGTGGGGGCAGGAGAGAGGATGGGAACCAGACACATAAAAAGGAATATTTTTTTCTCATGTGCTTAATGTTTCCTTTAA